AAAAAAAAAAAAAATTAGTACTACAGTACAGCTTATAGAGCATTGAAAGATACAGAAGGTAAAATTATTCAACCTCTCTACTCAGATAAATCTATTGTTTTAAGACTTTTTTAATTTGCAACTCACCTCCAACTCTTTGTTTGTTTGTTTGTTTGTTTGAGACAGAGTCTAATTGTCATTCAGACTGGAGTGTGGACTGCAGTGGCAGATCTCGACTCACTGCACCCTCCGCCTCCGGGGTTCAAGCAATTCTCCTGCCTCAGCCTCCTGAGTAGCTGGGACTACAGGCACGTATCAGTATGCCTGGCTAATTTTTGTATTTTTTGTAGCTACAGAGTTTCGCCATGTTGGGCGGGCTGGTCTTGAACTCTTGACCTCAGGTGATCCACCCGTCTCAGCCTCCCAAAGTACTAGGATTATAGGTGTGAGCCACCGCACCCAGCCAGCTCACCTACAACTCTTTCTGAATGATTACATACAGCAATATTCTAAACTATTGCATACAGCAATATATGAAGTAGGCAAAAAAGGTGGTGATGTCACTGAAGATACAAAACAAAAGATACTTTAGTATCTTTGTCATTAGAGATTCAAAAATTAAAAAATTCATAAGAATAAAATAATTTAAAACCCTTTAAAATCAAAGTTAAGCGGGGAGGGCGCTGAAGATCGGGGCCGCTGGGCTGCAGGCCGCCTCCAACGCCGCGGGATGTAGCGCGGGGGACCGCGGCAGCCAGCACAGCCCGCTTGCCGGGCTTGTCAACCATCGCAGGGAGATCTCTGCCCCCTGGGGCTGAGAGACCCCAACCTTTCCCCAAGCCGAAGCTGTAGGGTATTGAGGTACCAGCCAGATGTCTTCCCACAAAGGATCTGTGGTGGCACAGGGGAATGGGGCTCTTGCCAGTAACAGGGAAACTGACACGGTAGAACTGGCTGAACTGGGACCCCTGCTAGCAGAGAAGGGCAAACGGGTAATCTCCAACCCTACCAAAGCTGAAGGAGAGCAAACATGCCCAGTGCCCCAGGAAGAAGAGGAGGAGGTGCGAGTACTGTCACTTCCTCAGCAAGCCCACCACGCCATGGAGAAGATGGAGGAGTTTGTGTACAAGGTCTGGGAAGGACGTTGGAGGGTCATCCCATATGATGTGCTCCCTGACTGCCTAAAGGACCATGACTATCTGCTACATGGCCATAGACCACCCATGCCCTCTTTTCGGGCTTGCTTCAAGAGTATCTTCCGCATCCATACAGAAACTGGCAACATCTGGACCCATCTGCTTTGTTTTGTGCTGTTTCTCTTTTTGGGAATCTTGACCATGCTCAGACCAAATACATACTTCATGGCCCCTCTACAGAAGAAGGTGGTTTTTGGGATGTTCTTCTTGGGTGCAGTGCTCTGCCTCAGCTTCTCCTGGCTATTTCACACTGTTTATTGTCATTCAGAGAAAGTCTCTCGGACTTTTTCCAAACTCGACTATTCTGGGATTGCTCTTCTTATTATGGGGAGCTTTGTCCCCTGGCTCTATTATTCCTTCTACTGCTCCCCACAGCCATGGCTCATCTACCTCTCCATCGTCTGCATCTTGGGCATTTCTGCCATCATTGTGGCACAGTGGGACCGGTTTGGCACTCCTAAGCACCGGCAGACAACAGCAGGGGTATTCCTGGGACTTGGCTTGAGTGGTGTCGTGCCCACCATGCACTTTACTATCGCTGAGGGCTTTGTCAAGGCCACCACAGTGGGCTATATGGGCTGGTTCTTCCTCATGGCTGTAATGTACATCACCGGAGCTGGCCTTTATGCTGCTCGAATTCCTGAGCGCTTCTTTCCTGGAAAATTTGACATATGGTTTCAGTCTCATCAGATTTCCCGTGTCCTGGTGGTGGCAGCAGCCTTTGTCCACTTCTATGGGGTCTCCAACCTTCAGGAATTCCGTTATGGCCTAGAAGGTGGCTGTACTGATGACACCCTTCTCTGAGCCTTCCCACCTGTGGGGTGGAGGAGAAACTTCCCAAGTGCTTTTAAAAATAACTTCTTTGCTAAAGTGAGAGGAAGAGTCTGAGTTGTCTGTTTCCAGAAGAAATCTCTTAGAGAATTTAGTACCAACCAAGCTTCAGCCCACTTTCACACCCACTGGGCAATAAGCTTTCCAATTCCATTCTCCCAGCTGGGGATGGGGCATGGTCAAACTTAGCCATCGCCTCCTCGGCAGCCACCCTCCTCAGCAAGGCACCTACCGGCTCCTCACAGAGACAGTACTTTGAAACTCATGTTGAGATTTTATCCTCTCCTCCAACCATTTTGGGAAAATGATGGACTGGGACTCTTCAGAAATTCTGTCTTTTTTCTGGAAGAAAATGTCCCTCCCTTACTTTGTATCCTGGCTTATAACAGGGCATCCATTTTTGTAGCACACTTTTCAAAAACAATTATATGCCCTGGTCCCATCCTTGTAGGGCCTGGATCTGCTTACAGAGCAGGAAGAATAAAGCCACCAACTCTTACCTAGCCCAGCTAATCATGGAAGTGTGTCCAGGCTTCAAGTAACTTGAGTGTTAATTTTTTTTTTCTTGGCAGAGTAATGTAAAATGTAAATGGGGAAAGATGTTTAATATTTAATACTAAGCTTTAAAAAGAAACCTGTTATCATTGCTATGTATCTTGATGCAAAGACTATGATGTTAATAAAAGAAAGTACAGAAGACAAAAAAAAAATCAAAGTTAAATAACTGCTGAACATTTAGTTATGTTTTTCAGTCATAAACAAGGGAGAACCAAGAGTTCCTTTATGTTAAGTCAGCTGCAAGTGAAAACTTCTTAAAATCCTTATTTCTAGCATGAAAGTAAGCAACTATGTGACATGAAACAAGATAAATAATACTATAGCTATTGAAATACCCATCTGGTTTGGGTGATATATGAAATATCAGTTAATAATCTGAGTCTAGTTGAAATCTGAAATGGTATTAAAAATTGTTGCTGTTAATCTCTTTTTCATAATGACTTAGATTTTCTATATGGCATATTATATCTGGAGTTTCTTTTGTAGGAATCTAAACGCCAAATGAGTTACTTTTTAGATGTTTTTCTATTTCCTCAAGAAGACTTAGCTTTAAATGCAACTGTTCTCATGTGGCCTAAGAAAATTAATCCCATTTTTGATGAAAATGATGAGGTAAATATATTTTTCAGCATGTATTTTTGTATTCTGACATTTCAAGCACAGAATTCACATTTAATTTCATATCTACTTGCCATCTAGCTTTAAAAGTCATTTTGTGTGTCAATATGAGTTTGGGACTGGCCACCCTTAAGGAGGCAAGCTGTTAGGCTTAACTCACAAGGTCTGGTAAGTAGCGGGCTGACATTTAAAAAGTCAGAGCTATTGCATAAATTAATAATAGAAGTACTTAACAGAGAAAGTGCTTTCCATTTATTCACTTATTTCAGTCTCATGAAAATCCATGTGCCCCCATTTCTTCCATTTTATAGATGAGAAATATGAGACTCAGAGAAATTAAATAGCTCAGTATCACAGATAAGATTTATGATTTTATATCAGACTGAATATATTTCAGATATTGAAAAAGTCCTAATGTAAACCAGTTTATCCTAAATTGGGAGGTAAGATGGTATTCTAATAAAAAGTGTGGCCTTCAATCAGATAAACCAAGATTTTCATCCAGATTTTGATTTTTTTTGTGAACTTGAACATGACTTCCATAAGATTCCATTTCTTTTCTCTGAAATGAGAATAATAAAACCAGTAATAATATAGATAAGGTATTTAATAGTTCTTGGGCATATGCTCAAAGAACTGAGCATATTTAATTTTAATTTAATAAAATTAAATGGTAATTTTATTATCCCAGAATCTGTTAAAGTATTTAATGAATACAGTTGTTAAAGTCACTTGGGAGATCTAGGAACATTTTTCTGTGTGTTTATTATTCTTTGCATTTTTTTTTTTTTTTTTTTTTTTTTTTTTTTTTTTTTTTTTTTTTTTTTTTTTTTTTTTTTTTTGAGATGGAGTTTCGCTCTTGTTACCCAGGCTGGAGTGCAATGGCACGATCTCGGCTCACCGCAACCTCCGCCTCCCGGGTTCAGGCAATTCTCCTGCCTCAGCCTCCTGAGTAGCTGGGATTACAGGCATGCGCCACCATGCCCAGCTAATTTTTTGTATTTTTAGTAGAGACGGGGTTTCACCATGTTGACCGGGATGGTCTCGATCTCTTGACCTCGTGATCCACCCGCCTCGGCCTCCCACAGTGCTGGGATTACAGGCTTGAGCCACTGCGCCCGGCCATATTCTTTGCATTTTTATATCAGTTATTATAAACATTGTTTTATTTTTGTACTCATTTTTACTTCTCTGGTTTTTTTTTTTTTTGAGACAGAGTCTTACTCTGTCATCACCCAGGCTGGAGTGTAGTGGTGCAATCTCGACTCACTGCAACCTCTGCCTCCCAGGTTCCAGTGATTCTCCTGCCTCAGCCTCCTGAGTAGCTGGGACTACAGGTGCGCACCACCACGCCCAGTTAATTTTTGTATTTTTAGTAGAGCTGGGGTTTCACCATGTAGGCCAGGTTGGTCATGATCTCTTGACTGTGATCCACCTGCCTCGGCCTCATGAAGTGCTAGGATTACACACATGAGCCACTGCCCCCAGCCCTCTGATTTTTTTTATTATTATACACAGTATTTAGATTTCTGACTTGGTAATTCTTTGTTACAGATTAACTAACATGATTAAATTGTCTTTTAAAAAGCTAATTGAGAATGCTAAACACAAAAAAGAAAATGAACTAATGGCCAAGAGAGAGAAACTTATTTTGGAAATAGAAAAGGAATCACGCCACATGGAAGAGTTTACAGAATTTGCAGAGCTGGAACGCATGCAACAGGTCTGAAAAATATATAAGACAAAGCTACTGCCAGCCCATAGAGTCATACAGGACATGTTAATATAAATTAAAATATAGAAAAATATATGTTTACTATATTTTTTATGTTAACTATATTATATAGATACATATATAGAAAAATATAATTACATTTAATACTATAGCATATAGTAAAATACATAAATATTTATATACATATTTTATATGTAGTCCCAGCCTCCTGAGTAGCTGAGACTAACAGTCATGTGCCACCATGCATGGCTAATTTTTTATATTTTTTTTAGAGATGGGGTTTTGCCATGTTGCCCAGGCTGGCAAACAAAGACCTGAATTTACATAGGCCCAGAACTGGAGCTATGTAATGTTTTTTGTGACTTAGTTCTCTATTTGTAGTATAGACATAATTATACCTTTTGCTCTCAATCATAATTATGTTGTGAAGCTAATATTTAAAGTTACTGTATAGGCCGGGCGCAGTGGCTTATGCCTATAATCCCAGCACTTTGGGAGGCTGAGGCAGGTGATCACTTGAGGTCAGGAGTTTGAGATCAGCCTGGTCAATATGGTGAAACCCCATCTCTACTAAAAATACAAAAATTATCCGGGTGTGGTGGTGTGCACCTGTAGTCCCAGCTATTTGGTGGGCTGAGGCGGGAGGATCGCTTGAACCAGGGGGCAGAGGTTGCAGTGAGCCCAGATAGCACCACTGCACTCCAGCCTAAAAATAAAATAAGGTTGCTGTATAAATGCAAGAACATATCTTACACAGTACCATACTATTTTATAACATTACTTGAATATTTTTAAGATAAAAAATTATTTGTTTTTAGTATGTGACAGATGTAAGACAACTACAAAAACGTATTCAGGAATCTGAAGAAGCAGTACAGTTTATTAATAAAGAAGAGGAACTTTTCAAGTGGGAATTGACAAAATATCCTGAACTGGATAAATTAAAAGTTAACATTGAGCCCTATCAGAAGTTTTTTAATTTTGTTCTGAAGTGGCAACGATCAGAAAAACGGTAATTTCTGGTAATGTAATAAAAATCAAGCAAATGATAGAAAATAACTTGCAAAATATAAATTGACTTTTTTTTTTGGTTAAGTGTTTAAAAGTAGGAGTTATCTGTCCATTTGAAAGAGAACCAAGTACCATATAGGAGAAGCATCCAGTGCTGCTAAGGTACCACTAACCTTACTAATATAATATCTGAGATCCTTTTCTGGCTTATGGGCATAATGATTGGATTTTCATGCTCGTGTGTGAGAAGTATGCCTCCCTCAAACATTGTTACAATGTCAGCACATTACCCTCTGACATGAAAAAAAAATATATAATATATGAGTTGTCATTTCGGTTTTGAGAGTCATCAGCACATTACCCTTCTGACATGAAAAATATATATATAATACATGAAATATATGAGTTGTCATTTCGGTTTCTGAGAGTCAATTTCCTTTTTAATACAATAGATTAATTTCACTAATGTTTACCCCCAAAATTAGAAGTATGGAGTCAAATCTGCATTTTATTTTTATTTTTGTTTTATAATTTCAACTTTTATTTTAGATTCAGAAACATGTGCAGATTTGTTACATGGGTACATTGCATGACACTGAGGTTTGGGATACAAATGATCCTATCACCCAGGTAGTGAGCATAGCATCTACTAGGTAGTTTTTCAGCCCTTGTACCCCTCCCTCTCTCTCACCTTTAGTAGTCCCCACTGTCTGTTGTTCCCATCTCTATGTCCATGTGTACCCAGGGTTTACCTCCCACTTCAAAGTGAGACCATGAGGTATTTGCTTTTCTGTTTCTGCATTAATTTGCTTAGGATAATGGCCTTCGGCTGCATCCATGTTGCTGCAAAGGGCATGATTTCATTCTTTTTTAGGGTTGTGTTGTATTCCATGGTGTATATGTACCAAATTTTCTTTTTTTTTTCTTATTTGTACCCCCTCTTTCAATCATGTTACTTTTCTACCAGATTTTCTTTGCTCAATCCACTGTTGATGGGCACCTAGGTTAACTCCATGTATTTGCTACTATAAATAGTGCTGTGATGAACAGACAAGTACATGTGTCTTTTTGGTAGAATGATTATTTTCCTTTGGGTATGTACCCAGTAATGGAATTGCTGGGTCAAATAGTAGTTCTGTCTTAAGTTCTCTGAGAAATCTCCAAACTACTCTCCACAGTGGCTGAGCTAATTTACTGTCCCACCAACAGTGCAACAGTGAATAAGCATTCCCTTTTCTTCACAGCATCTGTTTTTGTTTTTTTAAGCTTTTTAGTAATAGCCATTCTGGTCAATGGGAGATGGTCTCTCATTATGGTTTGATTTGCATTTCTCTGATGTGAATCTGCATTTTATTTGGGTACTATAAGTCATCCATTTATAATCTGATACATATTTTAGCACATGCAGCGTAGTCAAAATGATTATTTTAGTTCTATCTTTCTACCATCAGCTGTACCTGTGTACTTGAGAAAAACTGTTAACAGCTCTTGTCCTTATTTTTCTCTCTTAAAAAAAAATAAGGGGTCTAGTCTAAAGGATCTCTAAGGCCCCTTCAAACTCCAAAAGTCTGAGTTTAATAATTTTTTTCTTTCAATTCAGGTGGATGGATGGAGGGTTTTTGGACCTCAATGGGGAAAGCATGGAGGCTGATGTGGAAGAGTTTTCCCGAGAAATTTTTAAGACACTAAAATTTTTCCAACTGAAGCTAAAGAAAGAATTACAAGAAAAAAGAAAGGCAGCAAGAAAACGGTCTCTGGAAGAAGAGAAAATTGAAGAAGAACCCAAAGAGAATCCTACTATTACTATGTGCAGTACCATCATGGAACAGATAAAAGCTTTTAAGGTATAAATGTATATAATAACATTTTAATATTGTAGCTATCTTCTCAACTTTTCTGTTGTATAATATATAAATTATAAAGCCTATCTTCTTGTTTTACATGTTTATTAATTATTATCATTATTATTAAGTTTTGAGACAGGGTCTTAGTATGTTTCCCAGGATGGAGTGTAGTGGTGACTCACTGCCACCTCTACCTCCTGGGCTCAAGCAATCCTCCCACCTCAACCTCCTGAGTAGCTGGTACTACAGGTGTATACCACCATGCCTGGCTAATTTTTTGGAGAGATGGGGTTTGGCCATGTTGCCCAGGCTGGTCTCAAACTCCTGTGCTCAAGCAATCTGTCCACTTTGGCCTCCCAAAGTGCAGGGATTACAGGCATGAGCCACCACACCTGGCCTATTATTATTACTTTTTAGATAGGGTCTTACCCTGTTGCCCAGGTTGGAGTGCAGTGGCACAGTCATAGCTTACTGCAGCCTCAGACTCCTAGGCTCAAGAAGAAGACACTATTTCTTCCTCTTTGGCCAATGAATTAGGTCTCTGTCACTTGTAATCAAAGGAGTGTGGCCAAATGAAGGTACTGAGGAGAAACAATCAGAAAAAAATAAGATTTAAAATTCCTCTGCTACGCCTCAGCCTCTTGGTCAAGCTCTGACTCATTCCCAGCTCTGTTGTAGGCATGGGTATTGTGATAGAGCTAAGTGACTGGTTTTGGGAGGAAGTGGTAAGGGCAAGAGAGGCAGTTTATTCTTGTCATCTTTTGAATTACATCTGTTTGCATCTTTGATGTTTTTGTGTCTCATTCCCACAACTTTAGCTCCTCATCATGAAGCACCATTATGGAGTGTAGGGAAGGCTAATGGGTGGTGAATGGCAGCCATATTTGAGGGGCAGACCAAAGAGAATATACAGATAAAGACAGATCTGATAAAACTGGGGCAAATTGTTCCTCTGGCCCAAGAAAGGCAGTAGAAGATTGCTCAGATCTATTAGAGCAGATTGCATACTTCCTGAAAATGATACCAAATCATTTTCCTATGGAAAACATAGGAAGAGTACACCATTGTTCATAATTTTAATAAACTAAACAAATCTAATAAAATAGCCTGCCATTAATTCAGTATAATCCAAACTTTGAAGTGAGGTTATAACTATTTTTTTCTAGATGAACACATTAAAAGTTTTTAGCATTTGCAAAATGCTTAGGTGGAGAAGGCTTTTGAGCCCAGATAAATTATTGACTCATGGATTCTAAATTTTAAGAATTACTCAAGGCCAGGCATGGTGGCTCATGCTTGTAGTGTCAGCACTTTGGGAGACCAAAGTGGGCAGCTCACCTGAGGTCAGGAGTTTGATACCAGACTGACCAACATGGTGAAACCTCATCTCTACTAAAAATACAAAAAATTAGCTGAGTGTGGTGGTGCATACCTGTAATCTCAGCTACTCGGGAGACTGAGGAGGGAGAATCGTTTGAACATGGGAGGCGAAGGTTGCAGTTAGCCGAGATCATGCCACTGCATGCCCAGCCTGGGCAACAGAGCCAGACTCTGTCGCAAAAAAAAAAAATTACCCAAGAAAGCCTTGATAGAGCTTTTTTCATCATCAAGTGCTAATAAAAAGAAATAGAAAGATCTGGAAGCAGGCTGGGTATAGTGGATGACACCTGTAACCTGTAATCCCAGGGCTTTGGGAGGCCAAGGGTGGAGGATCATTTGAGGCCAGAAGTTCAAGACCAGCGTGGGTAACATAGTGAGGCCCTACCTCTACAAAAAATAAAAAGTAGGGTATAAATAAAAAATAAAAAGGTAGGGTAACATAGTGAGACTCTACCTCTACAAAAAATAAAAAATTAGCCAAGCATGATAAAAAAAATTCGGCTGTTCCTGAAGTCCCAGCTACTCCAGAGGCTGAGGCGGAAGGATCGCTTAAGCCCAGGAATTTGAGATTTCAGTGAGCTATCATTGTACCACTGCACTCCTGGGCAACAGAGTGAGACCCTGTTTCAACAAAAACAAGGACATACATTTACTAGGGCAGACCACGTAGCCTGTACTAAGTACAGCAACACAGGGTAGCAGTTTATTGGAAGGATTTGGAGCCACACTGCTTAGTTATACTATTCTGCACCTGGCAGTTCCATACCTTGAGCAAGATATTAAGCTGCTTGCGCCTCAGTCCTCTCATTTATAAAGAGAGAATAAAAATAGTTTTTGTGACCGTCAGTAATACATCTTCTTCCCAAGGCAGTAGTGGCACTGGTTTTATTGGCAAATTTCCACTGTCAGCATGCCCAGAGTGCAAACTCTGTGACTGGATTTAAGCATTGTTCCTGTCTATGTCTAGTCATCTCA